ATCATTTTTTTCATTACAGGGAGAATTTTTCATCATTTCAAGGAAGTGACAAAAGACCCCATTCTTTGACTTAGAACTACAAACAGAATAGGCCTTTAGCCTTTGGGAACAGTCCTGCCAAGTGACCTGGTAAAAAAGTGCTGCTGCCATTATCACCGTGTGCTTACACAGCAATATACAAACATTACCTAGTCCTCAGAATAGCTTAATGATTTACATGTGAATATTCTCTGTCTTTTAAATGGGGAAGTTCATACTGAAAAGCCAAATGCCTTGTTCAAAGCTTCCAAGAGAATCAGCAGTTGTGAATGCTGGACCCTAGTGTAAACCATAGGTCCAAGGGAAGAATCCTCAGTGCTTTTATCATTAAGCTCCAACATGTTTCTCATGGTTGGATGAGCTGTTGGAAGCTCAACAAGCAGTAATTTGCTCAAACGGATAAAAAGCATAACTGTGATCTTCAGATGGGTGAGAGGGAAAAAATTCACCATGAACAAAAATGTTCTTATACCAAAGCTACCCAAACCAGCAACCTTAGTGACATACCAGTAGGAACAACAAAAAGCTTGCTCTTGTGAGAGATGCACCTGCACAGATATTTACTCAGGATTCACATCAACTTCTGAATTGGTGGTAGTTTTCTTCAAGATCTAAATCTTTTGTACTTTAACTCAACTTTGGTTATAATGAAGACACAAAAAAGCAAATATTGTTTCAGATAAGTGGTGTGGGTTTTTTCTTCTAATAGGTACCTTTCAGAGGTAACTCTGATGCGTTCATCATTAGATGATTGCTGCTCATCCTCTTTTTCCTGGAAGTATTCTTCTACACACTGCTCTTCAAACTCATACAGTTTTTTTAGCTCTTCATCATTCAGAAATAACTCTGTGCAAAACAGAAGAACAAAATACAAGTTTCCTTCTTCTGAACTTCTGGCAGACAATTTAAATCCAATTTAGCAGATTATTTTGGACATACAGATACTGCAGATTCTACTCCTGCACTAAATGAACAGATGATTTTGTAAATAGGGAATGAGTGCTTAGCCAAAGATGGCCACAGCCCTGAAGGCAATGTAATGCAATATGACCATCATCTGCTTTTATGACCATCCTCTGGGGGCTATATTTTCTGAATGGCCTTTGCACTTTTTAACAGCAGTGCTACGTGTTGAACAAACTGACTAGATTTTACAGGATAAAGACTAGGGCAATCTCTGCCAGTTTGACTCTTCCTTCATTCAAATATTGTTCATAAAAGGATGCCAGTTACAGGCAACAGATAATCTAATACAACAGATTGTTTCCCAGACATTCTTTGGATAAGAGCTTCAAAAATTCATAATCATCTAAGGAAAATATAAGGGAAATATAAGCTCTTGGGAACATTTCATCCTTTATTTGAATTTGTCTCTTTGTATTTGGAGGGAGTGTTACATTTATTTTTTTTCCCTTTTTCTCCTTTTTTAACTCAGAGGCATATTGTGCAGAAATATAATTACTTACAAAATGTTTCCTGTGAAATGTAGAAATACAGGAATAATTGTGAGCATCTGATTATTTCAATGAGGCATATAATGAAAATAATAATCAACAATTACAGAGTATGTTAGGAGAAGAATCCTCACAGTTCCCCTGTGAAATGACAGATAAATCTCTAACATGGCGAAATGAAAGTGGGGGTACTCTTAGACAGATTGCTCACAATCACAGAGCTGACACTACAGATGACATTTGAAACTGTGACCCTTTCTTCTCAATTTCATATTTGCCCTTCCCAACATATGGACTTCACTAGAACTTGGTAAAACTGGATTAAGTAGATGCCATCTCACTGTTTTAAGAAAGCATGTTAAAGAAAGTCTTCATAGCAGCACAGCATTGCATATTCTTAGTAGCCCATGGAGCTCAAGAGCTGTTAACTTGATACAAATTTTGTCCCATACTGTCTTCTGCAAATACACTTGATTATCAGCATGAACAAAATAGTTCAGCATTAGAAAAGCTGCTACTTTCTGCTAATATGGTACAAAGAGCTCAATTTCGAGAAGATTTCTTGCATACTCAGTCCCCTGTCACGCTCATCCTGGTCTCCTTCACCCTTCTTGCAGCGACAGCAGATTCGCTTGATGATTATGTAGATGTGGCTGAAGATAATCATTGGCGGTGGGAGGACAGGTCTGTCATGGAATGTCATGATCAGCTGGTATCGCTGGAACTTCCAGACTTGGTTGGATATTGATTTTACCTCAAAGAAGGTATTGCTGAAAGGGAACATAGGTACAATTTCTATTAGGCCCCTAAGTTTACTTATCATTGAGCAAGTACAATGTTGAAAAAAGTAGCAGCTAAATAACATGAGGCCACATGACTTGCTTGGTTCAGCTGTTTGTTGATGCTGCTGGACTGATGATTAACTTGAACTTGTGATTTCACTACTCCTTTTGAGGGCAGCAAAGCAGAATGTGCTCTGCATCCCTTATGTACCACCCAGAACAGTCCTCCTCCTAGACTATTTGCTTCTACCGTATAAAGTCCTTTAGGTGTTAGTGAAAAGAAACTTGCACAATTTATGAATTACATAATTGGTATTTTGGGGCTTGGTTATAAAGTATTTCTTTTAACACATGCCAGTATTTGATATTACACAAAGTATTAAATCCATGAAAGGTATTTTGTATGCTAAACCCAGAAGCTTCACATAGTTTGCCTTTAATATGCTAATCAGTTTGACCTACATAGAAGACTTTTCCAGTTTTCACAAAATGTTCTAAATTCAAACTTCATTCACTCAAACTTCTGACTTGAAAACATGGTGCATATTCTTGTAAAGGCATTTGTTCTTGGAAGCCATGGCCTCATCATTTCTACACCAAAACAGGGTATGTTACAAAGCTGTTTTATTTTGTAATTCAGTGGATATGAAGGAGTATAACTGATAGTATTCAATCCTGGCATAAAAACAGTCACGGTTATGAAATACCAACTAAGAGAAAGCAGACTTGATATTCTGTCTTAGATAAAGCTTTTCAAGCTATTTTAAGTTATACTCAGACAGCTCACTCCACTTCTATGATGATGATGATATTGGCACGTCCTTTTTTATATTTTCTGTCTACTACTTTTCTAGCTTTCTGTGCTTTAGAATATCTACATTCACAAAAGCAGTTAAAACATCTCTTTGAAACCAGAGAATTCTTGAGTACACACAGCTTTCGGTTTCTTTTGGCTAAGTATACATGAGATTATTTACCAATGATAAATGACAATCTGCCTTCATTCTGTGTCTCCTTACATAGCAGGAATTCCCCAGCTAGATCTCACCCCCTTGCAACCATGCTGGGATGGCAGGAGTTAACAGCATGACCTACTTCCCAAACTGCTGATTCCTTGGTCCTTCAGCCAATAATAGCTACCATTGTAAGATTCTTCCCCCTAGCGATGTGACTGGCATTTGAGCACTTTTAAATCCATGACCTTTTAAGCTACATAAATCAAATGAAAGACAGGCTTTGTGAGCTGTAGATTTATGGGCACACGATGAACTCTTTTTGTGGTTGTGACACCAGCTACCTATGCCAACAAGCCCTCCGACACTACCTGTTTATGGGCATCAAAAATGGATCACCTGCTTTACTCAGGTGGTATGTTTGGCAAGTCTTACTAGCAAGTAGATATTTAAATTTTTTTTTTTTTTTTTTTTATTCCTAGGTCATGACAGGAAAAGCATGCAACATAACTGTGGGTAGAAAGAACAACCAGCAGAAATTTATTTAGTTTTACTTCAGAGAAGTCTAAATATAGATTTCTGGAATAACCTTAAGAATGTGCATAGTGCACGTTGCTTGGACTGGCCACAGATGTTGGCAACATGTAGCCATCCTTTCTCTTGGTTGAAGGCAATACAGACTCCTTTTCTGGGTCATATAAGAACCCTGCAAGGCCCTAATTTCTTTTTCTAAATGAAAAGCAAAACAAGAAGAACAAAGAAAAAGAAGCCAGATGATGTTGTGATAGTGGAAATGCCTCTGCTTTTGATGTTCAGATTTTGATTCTGCAGTTCTATCACGGAACCATGTTTGTTAGTGGTTACGTGGGCTTCCATCATGTATGTAGTAAGTTTCATGGATACTGTTTTTCATTTTTCCAGAGCAATCTTGAGGCCTGTCACTACCCACTAAATGGTAATTGAAAGTAGCCAGATTCTCTCACATGCATTACTGCAATTGCTGGCAAATTCAAAGCAACCTTTCCTCCACTCTTTCATTCCAAGTATTTGCCAGTCATGTTCATAGAGTAATTGGATTCTGAGTGCAAATGCAAACCCTTGCAAAATCAGTTGATAGGCTCTCACAGAAACTCTGTCGTGGCAATAAGAAAGTAAAGATAGTGTATGATCATTTACATACTTGAACACAGCAATCAGCAGGTTTACCAACAGGATATTTGCTACCAAGAGGTAACAGGCCATAATAGCAGGAGTGAGCCAGGCCCCTGGTATACATGGAGGGAGGCGTTTACCATCATCATCGTAAAGATTGTCCCCACAAGGAGCTGAAGAAGAAATAGGAAAAGTATTTTTCACAAATTGCCTGATACTTATAAACACTATTCACATTTATTTAATGATGACACACGCATAAAATTTGCCAAGGTAAACAGATTTTGTCAGTTTATTTCCAGTAGCAAGTATGTTTAATTTCTACTTCAAATTCATCTTCTAACTACAGCGTACAAAAATAATTTCCCATAATAGTGAACAGAGAGGCAGCTCCAAGTTTACTGTACAGTGTGGCTTTCTCTTCAAATTCATATGGATTTTCTTTTTCTCATAGTAATAGTCTAGGACAAGATCTTAAATGTGCATACGTACATATTAGTAGTGGAATTAAAAAAAATTCTCCAACCAAACTTGTGTGCATACCTTGCCAAAGATATAAAAGAATTTACTTAGTGGTCCCAGATTGCTGAGCATAAATTAAACCTTTATCGGGGCCCTGAGTGTACTAAAGAGGCCTTAATGATCCTGACCAGCTTCACCTAGGGTCTACACCTACACCACCTATGCATACCTGTCCCTGCCTGAGCTATGTCAGGTGTGCAGATCTCAGCCCTGCCTCCTGGATGGACCTTGGACCTGTGTTAGTCGCCTGGATGGACCCTTCTTCTGTCTCTGGCCCTGTCTCCTTTTGCCCCTGACTGGTCTCCCTAGATGGACCCTAGACTATTACTTGTCCTGCCTGGGGCTGTTAATGTTACCAGCAGGTGGCCCTGCCGCCACTTCCAGGCCTAGTTCTGTTTCTCTTACTTTTCACAATAATTCTAAATTTTAGATAAAATTTTAAACAAAAGAGATAAAATTATAAAATGAAAATGATATAGTAACAGCAAAATAGACTGGTGAGAATGAGACAAAAATTGAGATATTGATCAAACTGATATAAAATAATTGCCTGAAGTAATCCTAAGAATACACAGGTTGTCTTGGGGTAAGAGCTGTCTTTGAGTTGGGTAAAGGCAGCAAGTTTGTTCTGTCTTCAAGTGCAGTGCCAGCGTATCTGATTTCAAATACAAGGCTAACTTTTGGAACCGTTTAGTAGCAGGTAAAGTGTTTATCAGCCACAGGTTCTTTAGCTGAAATCTTAGTAAATACTAAGATCTGACAATGAGTTCATTACAGATTTAGTTTATGTGAATAGACAAACCAGTTTTTTAAGCATTTTGCAAAAAACCCCAATGCTTCAACCTCACCTGAAAAATACTCCAAATTATTTGAAAACAGACTAATCTTATTTACTGTGGACTGAAAGAGATATTTAGACTATGATTAATAAAATATATTTTACTTACTTTTCAAACATCAGACCTACATTTTTCCTGTTTGTCATAAGAAAAGTGTAACAGGGAAGTCAAGCGAATCATAGTATTATTCACATGGACCAATGAAAGTACTGCCAAAACCCCACTAACATTGTATCTAGATAATCAAAGGGAATTAGTTATACTATGACACTCATGCATCATCATTTAAAAAAAGGATTATTTTACTGTCAATGTACTAGAAACAAGTCATAGCAACCACATAAGCTCAATTACAACTTCTGATCTGCAATTTGTATTAAAATAAAATATTCTTCCTCTGCTTCTTTTCAAATGAAACTATTACAGTAGAAAAACAAGATTCACACCTGAATATTGGATGAACCCTATAATTAAAATGTCAGTATCTAGTGAAGAAAAAGATCAATGAACTTATTCAGCTAAATGAGGAAATCAGCTCTCCACAGAGACTTACGATTAATTTCCATGGCATAGACTGAACAGCATTCCAAAGGAACGAAATAGAAAAGGAGGCAGGGAAAGAAAGAAAGAAAACAATAGAATAATATAGGAAAAAAAAACAACAAAAAAGATGATTGAAATTACAGTTTTGCCACCAAGAAAAGATAAGCAACTGAAATGTCAGAACAGTAGAGACATATGCTTAGAAACAATCTCTTTGTTAAAAATGCATTGCATTCTGCAATTTCCTTTTCATGTTGTTTTCCCCAAATGTTACATATGGCAGTGAATTAATGATATTAATAATAGAACACAAAATGCTTCTGGCAGATGATCATTTAAATATACACGATATTTCAGGCAAGTAAACAAAACTGGCGGTCACCACGAACACAAAACAACTCAAAATTATCACACAAAATCATTCTTTTAGCTATTATGGAAACATTTCCTCCTTTTTTTCCTCTTTTTTCTTTTAAGAACCACCCTGGCTTTCAGTCTGCCAGCTGTTTTGATTGAATAGCTATGTTTGTGGTAATAGTCATGATACTGATGTTCATAGAATCATAGAATCATTAA